TGTGTGTGTGTGTGTGTGTGTGTGTGTGTGTGTGTGTGTGTGTGTGTACATACATATATATGTATTCTGTATATGTGTGTATATAATTTATATAAACATATACACTATATATAACAAAATATATAACATTTATTTAACAAAATTTTTGTATCACAATATATAACATATACACACGTATATTGATGGCTGTGTTTTATCATAGGGCAGCTGGGTGGTGCAGTGGACATAGGAACCAGGGCGCTTCCCAGGTTCCAGGTCCAAATCCAACCTCAGACATTTACTAGCTGTGTGACCCTGGACAAGTCACTGAATCCTGCTCCCCTGAGTTTCCTCATCTATAAAATGAGCTGGAGGAGGAAATGACAAATCACTCCACTATCTTTGCCAAGAAAACCTCAAATGGGGTCACAAAAAGTCTGACCAGACTGAAACAACTGAACAACAAAAAAATAAAAATTTTAAAATACTATTCTGAAAGGGGTCCATAGGTTTCACCAGACTAACAAAAGGGTCCAGGACACAAAAATCTTGTTCTAGACTTTGATTTCTCCAAACCTGTTATAGCCTAACTGTGAAGTATCCAGGTACTGAATATAAGATATGTCCATTATTCGTATTTGTTATTTCTCCTTTTCCCTCCCATTACCTGCCTTTAGACTATTTTGTTATGAGTTACTTCCATGGGCTAGTAAAGAGAAGATAAGAAAGGATAAAGCCCTTTTCTGTCTTTTTTTTTCCCCCCAAATTTTTCAATTTCAGTATATCAATTTGACAAAAATAAGCTCAAACAACCAACATAAACTCATTTCTTGCTTAATAGAAACAAAGTTGACATGAGTAGCTGAAGTGTTGAGGATTGTACACTAGAAGTGTAATTCTTTAACCATGTAATAATATCTCCTCCACTGCCATCATCCTCTATGGATCAGTGTAGCCTGGAGATAACTCTTGGTGTTTAGAAGCCGTAGTAGCAGGAATAAGCTCTGGATTGAGCAGCCAAGCAGAAAAGCTTTTCAGGTAGGGGTCTGGTAATGGATTCAACAGTCAGTCAACAAATATTAGGTCCCTACTATGTGCTGGGCATTGTGTACACATTGGGGATATAAATACAAAAAATGAAGGAGCTTTATTCTGAAGGAGCTTATATTTTATCGAGGCAGGCAACATGTACATATATATATATAGAAATTCATATATTTTCCTGGAATCAATGGAAAGACATTAGAGTTTATGAAGTGAGAGAAAGACATGGGCAGGATACAAAATTATTTTGTGGGGAGAAGGGGTTGCAATTAAATTCATTTGCTGGTTTTTTTTTTTTAAGAAATTATGAACTTGAAAAACATTAACAAACATAAACTTTAGGATTGTTTATCTCTTGTCTAAGTACCAGATAACCTGAGGGAGGCAAGATTCGTCAATGGGTTGATAGTGATTTTTTTCAGCCATAATAACTCATGATGATTATCTACTAAATTATAAAGGGGTTACCTTCATTCATTAATTCAATGAGCACTTAATAAATACCTAGCACTGTATATCAGAAAGAACACTGGCTTTGAAGCCAAAGGGACTTATATTCAAATCTTGCCTCTGACATTTACTTCCAGTGTGACCCTATTCAAGTTTTCTAACCTTATTGGGCCACGGTTTCTTAATTTGTAAAATTAAAGAGATAAACTGGAGAGTGTCTGAGGTTTTTTTTTCCAGCACTAGTCCCAGGTGCCAGACACTGTGACAAACATTTTAATGCCAAGTTAAAAATTAAATAGTCCATATCTCAAAGAATTTAGATTCTATTGGGAGAAACAACATGTAGATAGAAATTAAATACAAAACATATCCAGAGTATGTCATTTCTGGGGTGAGGTTACTTGGAAGTGGTGATGAGGGGATCAGGCCATCCAGCCTACTTTTCTAGCCTTCTTATGTGTTACTCCCTTCTCTCACTCAGTGGTCCAGCCAAACAGTTTTTCATTACTGACACTATCTCTTGACCCTCTGTGTTTGCACCAGCTGCCCTCTATGCCTGGAATTCACTTCTTCCTTACTTTTCCTACTTAAAATACCTAGTTTCCTTCAAAACTCACTTCAAGTATGATTTTCTACATAAAGCCTTTCCTGATCCTTTTCTCCTAGCTGGTAGCACCTTCTCCCTACAAAATTACCTTGTATATATTTTACTTACAGATGTATATATTTGTCTCTACTGTTAGAAAATAAACTTCTTGAGGGCAGACACCATTTCATTTTTGTCTTGGTATCCTCAGGATTGAGCACAACGATTGGCACTTAATAAATGCTTATTTGATTGGTGTGGTGCTTGAACTGAGAGGAAACCTAGGGATTCTAAAAGATGGAATGAGGAAGGAATGTATTCCATATTGGCAATGTGGCAGGAACATGATCAGAGTATATCAGGGTGGGTGTGGGGACATGTAGATAAAGTGAATTCTCACTATCCAGAAACTCAGGGGTTGAGGGCAGAGCTAGAGTGCCTAGGGGAGGTTGGGGCACAATAGCATTACTGGAAGATGGCCAGAAAGAGAATGATCAAAGGGGCAAATTCCTAGAAGAGATGAGAGGGGAAGAGATCAAAGGCACAAGTAGAGGGGTTGGTATGTGAGACTAGACCAAAGGAATAGTGTCAGGGATAACGTTGAGGTGATTTGAAGTGAAGAATGGGAGAGAAGAAAGAGCTTGCCAAGGATGACCTTGACTGCTTTCTGTTAAGT